AAGGTACCCTAGTGACTGCTTTGCTCGCGCTATGCCTTGTTCTGTCCGGTTCTTTGCGCTTGCAATCAATATTTAGTGAAGTGAAGAGTAATTGAGAGTCGCCGTTTGCTGAAAGTTACGACAGTCTATTCGGTCACTGAAGTCAACACCTAACGTCCACGGAGCGGATGATACTCCCCATTGGTCGTTCATACAGACACGCCTACATCTTATTTTGATGGTCAGGCTAATATTTTGAAAGGCGCTTTGGAAAAGTTTAAATGTTCTATCAAACCGATATTATACATATTTTGACTCTTGTGTCGCTGTGGTATCACATTATGTTGTTGCACATGACTTCTCTGCAGCTCTTTTGATTCGTGTATTTTTGGCAGGTGATGAAGTGGAGTGACTAGCAGTACGGACAAATAGTAGCGGGAATATCGGAATCATGGTTTAGAGTGATGCTGTAGAAACTCACTGGTGCCGCTGTTGTAGTGGGGTGAGGTGTAAATGTTCCTTGGTGAAGAGTTAGTGTTAACATACGACACAGGACTGGGAATGTACAGAAAACTATTAACATTGTGGAGAGCTCAAAGTGAGAGTACACCGAGATGGTGAAATCCGAACATAAGGTTCAGAAGCGCGTCCTGGACCCGGCTGGGTCCGAATGAGGAATTTGTTCGTGGTTGCCGGTTGAGGAACGAGTGGGCAAGCGGGTATGATAACGAGCAGGAAGGAAATAGTGGCAGAAATATTTGGTTTAATCATGTATTTTCAACGACATTGCCAAAGTTGTACATAAATTGCAGTTGGTTGTACACTCTTCAATTCAGAAACCCTGAAGAACAAAAGCGGCTTCCTAAGAAAAAGTATTGGAGTGACTTCACATTACTTGTGTACCTACGCAACCAATAAGCAGAAATATAATTCACCGATGGTAGTTGTATATTTTTCAGGCGTGGGCCTGGCAGACGAACAACATTTATGATTGCAAACGACCGTTGTTGGCCACTGGATTAGGCTATCCTGTGTAGTTGCGGCTTTTTATTCATCAGCGTGGACAGATATTGACCCGACGCTTATTATAATAAGCCGAGGTCAGCTACATGGCATACATTTATGGGCATGAGGGACCGATTTCGACTGTTGGATTAAAGTTATCGTGCTGTAATAAGTCCTAAAGCAGCGTAGTATATAAACACAGGCCTAGCAGTCAGGATATGTTGCCGAGATAAGCGAAAGCACTTGCGGTTATCATGATGGAAGGTAGTATATGGAATGTTTTCCGGCAATGTTGTTTTGCTTTATGACTCAACCCAACTTACTGACGTCATGGTTTCCATTGGAAAAGAGCCCTTACTAAGATGTTGGTAACTCACCTACAGATATCAGAAGGGGCTGCACTATCTCCTGAATGGTTGTTCGTATCGGATTGTTCACACAGGTAAATACTCACATCAACACGGCATGATGCGTCAATTTATCTTCTGTCATTATAATGAACTCAAAGCGTGCTTCCTAAATCCTGTGTTGTGTATAATTTCTGTGAACCAAATAATTTAATTAGTTTCGTCTGACGAGTATAGTGCAAACATGTTATTCATCTTGCCGCTTTGGTGGGAATTGCACTGAGTATTTTGTAGATGTTACCTCCTCTTTGAAGAACATTGAGGCCCGCTGAAATATGCTAAGACTAATTTTCGTGGTATATCCTGTAGGCTGTTGACTACATGCAACTCAAAGACAGGCAGTGGCCTTGAGAACGTCCTCACTTAAACAAAAAGCAGTGAACCACATTTCACCGGAACCTGCGACCGGATCAGAGCAACTTGGTGCAAAACTCCCGACTCCGAAAATTTAAGGTCTCGGGGAAATGAATGTGGTTATGCGGCCGCGATGACCAAGGGGAACCCACAAGTAACCCAACAGTGATTTCGGAAGTCTAACGAGAATACTATAAAGACCTGTATTCTGCCCCAGCGACCTCATCATACCCAGCCTTGTCAACACGTAACTGCGAAAGCCTCTAGCCAGCTTGGTCTTTACAGGGGAGTACATCGGACAACTCTTGTACAGAACAAATCCCTTCAGGATTTTAGGGTCAGATGAAGTACTTCTAAGAATCCCAAGGAAACCTCGATCACATTGGCAAGGTATTTTTCCCTGGCGTTTTATCGGTCGCTCAACGAGGCGAACTACTTTCTCCTTGGAAAGAAGCTACTGTCACGCCATTCTACGGAAATGGTGACAGACGAAAATCCGGCATCCACAGGTCCATCAGGTTCACCAGCGTACCGTGTAAATCGACGAAAAGCATTTAGAAGTGGGCCATCTCAAAGCAATCTAGTACCAAAAATCTAATATTTTCGGCGTAGCACGGATTTTGCCCGAACAGTACTTGCGTGACGGACGTGCTTATATTTATGGGCATTAACCAAGTTAACAATGGACGACCCATATTGAAAGCCCTATTTTCGACTTCCGAAAAGCATCTGATCGTGTGTCACCAGTCTAGTTGCTTCACAAACGCGAGCCTTACGGGATTCAAGGGCAGGTTCTACGCTGGAATAAGGTGCTCTCTCAGACAGAACATTCTGAGCAAAAGAAGACTAGACCAAACATTCTCCGGCGCCGATCTACGGTTGAGTTCCCCAAGGCTCCGCGTCTGGAATGCTTCAACAACATTCTAGATATTCTTTCATTTCCCCATTTACTTTTTACTGTCGACTTGATTTCAGACGGATTTCAGCGCCCTCAAAATGGATGTAGACGCTGCAAAGCAGTGGTCGTTGGACAGGCTTCCTGTTTTGAATGGGAAAAGTGCGTCCATATGCATTTGGAGGTGACCAAGCGAACACTTTCGTTGTACATGGGGATTAGAATCCATCACAAGGGTAGATGTCAAAAATATTTGAGTATTTGGCTGACTTCAAATCTATCCTTCACACTGCACCATGAAAAATCGGCCCATAATGCAATAACGGTTCTGCGGATGATCCGGCCCGCCTTCTCCCGTATTACATGCATGGACATCTAATATACTTTACGGGGCCAACGCCGGACTGCTTTTTGAATGTGCCAAATAAGTTGTCTACTCAGGACGCACGAGGGACCTAACTCTCATCTAGTGCGTCCAGTGAGCTGCTAAGCATGTGGTTGCCGGCCTTAAATCCATGAACTAGGAAATGAGTCTCATGGTGCCAAACCTATTTCCCCTGGAGTATCTTCGCCACCGAGAGGACCTTATTCTTACTTATGCCCTGTTTGAACAAGGTGTGGCCAAAAATTTCAAGCTCGAAGTGAACTCATTCATTGAGCAACATTTCAACATTTCGGGTAGTTTCTGCTTAAAACACCCCTATTCCGACGGTGGTCCACGCTGCATCTGCAACCCAGATCAAAGCACCGTCACAAATTAACGCGAGATCTCGGGCCAATCTACAAAACTGGTGACCGACTATCGCCTGGCAGCTATAGGCCTATAAGCCTCACTAGCGTGCCGTGCAAGGTGATGGAACGCATTCTGAAGCGAGCCATCCTAGATCACCTTAATTCCAGCAATCTGATATCTCCATCTCAACACGGATTTCTCCCAAACCGTTCCTGCGTGACAAACATGCTCGTGTTTATGGACAGCTTAACCCAAGCCAAGGACGAAGGACTCATATCGGATGCCATATTTTTCGACTTCTCAAAAGCATTTGATAGGGACCCACACGTCCCGCTGCTCCACAAACACGAGTCTTACGGGATTCAAGGGAAAATCCGTCGCTGGATCAAGGCGTTCCTATCAGACAGGTCATTCAGAGTGAGAATAGGCTCAACTTATTCCTCTCCAGCGCCGGTCTCCATTGGAGTTCCTCAAGGCTCCGTCTTGGGACCACTCCTGTTTCTGATCTACGTCAACGACCTCCCAGACGTTCTTGCGAGTCCATGTCTACTTTATGCGGACGACTTGAAATCCTGGACTTTCAATGCCAGTGCTCTCCAAGTGGATGTATACGCTGCCAAGCAGTGGTCGTTGGACTGGCACCTTCCTCTGAATGATGAAAAGTGCGTCCATGTGTCGTTTGGAGGGAATTCAGCGAATGCATTTGTTACGCATGGTTAAAAGGGGCCGGAACTCATCATGAGGATATATGCCAAAAAGGACTTGGGCATCTGGGTCTCCTCAAACCTGTCCTTCTCGCTGCACCTGAGAAATCGGCCCAAAAGGCATTCGCCATTTTACGGATGATCCGACA